ATGGCGGCCGCCTGCGGCTTTTTTCACACGGCGCTGGTGCTGGACGACGGCGAGGCGCTCCTCTTCGGGAGGAACGCCGAGGGCCAGTGCGCTCTGCCCGCCGAGCGCCTGCGCGGCCGCAGGGTGACGCAGGCCGCCTGCGGCGGGGCACACGGCGCTGGTGCTGGACGACGGCGAGGCGCTCCTCTTCGGGAGGAACAACCGGCCAGTGCGCTCTGCCCGCCGAGCGCCTGCGCGGCCGCAGGGTGACGCAGGCCGCCTGCGGCGGGACCACACGGCGCTGGTGCTGGACGACGGCGAGGCGCTCCTCTTCGGGAGGAACGCCAGGGCCAGTGCGCTCTGCCCGCCGAGCGCCTGCGCGGCCGCAGGGTGACGCAGGCCGCCTGCGGCGGGACACACGGCGCTGGTGCTGGACGACGGCGAGGCGCTCCTCTTCGGGGGCAACGAAGCGGCCAGGGTGACGCTGCTGCCCGCCGAGCGCCTGCGCGGCCGCAGCGCCTGCGCGGCCGCAGGGTGACGCAGGCCGCCTGCGGCGGCTACCACACGGCGCTGGTGCTGGACGACGGCGAGGCGCTCCTCTTCGGGAGGAACAACGCCCAGGGCCAGTGCGCTCTGCCCGCCGAGCGCCTGCGCGGCCGCAGGGTGACGCAGGCCGCCTGCGGCGCCTACCACACGGCGCTGGTGCTGGACGACGGCGAGGCGCTCCTCTTCGGGAGGAACAACTACGGCCAGTGCGCTCTGCCCGCCGAGCGCCTGCGCGGCCGCAGGGTGACGCAGGCCGCCTGCGGCGTCTACCACACGGCGCTGGTGCTGGACGACGGCGAGGCGCTCCTCTTCGGGGGCAACGCCCAGGGCCAGTGCGCTCTGCCCGCCGAGCGCCTGCGCGGCCGCAGGGTGACGCAGGCCGCCTGCGGTGCTCGTCCTCGTCCTCGTCGTCGTGCTCGTCCTCGCCGTCGTGCCATTTTCGTCCTCGCCCTTGCCGTCGCACTCGCCGTCGCCGTCGACGTCAGCGGGTGGGGGCTCCTCCGCCCTCCATCCCTGCTCCCTCCTCTGTCCTTGGGCCCCGCCTCTCTCCGCCCCCTCCTCATCCTCCGTCTCCTCATCCCCGAGGAGGAGGAGGGGGGGGAGAAGGAGGGGGAGGAGTACGCAGGAGGAGGGGGGGTTGAAGGCAGAGGAAGAGGAGGAGCAGGACGGTAGTTGGGGGAATTACAGGAGGAGGGGGAGGAGTGCCTCTTCCCCTTCGTGCCCACTCCTCTCCTGCCCCTGCGCCGGCCCCTGCAACCCTGCCCCCCGCCCGCTCCGTCCCCGGCGTCCGCCCCCCCCTGTCGCCGGATGTCCGTCAGCCCACCGGGGACTCGACGCTGCTGACGCAGCCGCTGGTGGAGCACCCTGGCCAGGTGGCCCGAGGAGGAGGATCGGGCCGGGCGAAAGGGGGGGATTGGGAAAGGGGGGGTTACGAAATTTGCTGCATGCAGCTGGTTTCGGCCGCACCGAGGGGCCTATTCCTCGATACATGGCCGCCTCCGGCGCCGGCAGCTACGTGAGCTGATTCTCAAACCCCCACCTTTGCTATCCCCCCCTTTCGCCCGACCCGAGAGGACGAGAACGAGCATGATGATGCATGGTGGACGGTGGGAGGTGGATGGTGCATGGTGGAAATGGTGTTGCTTTTTCCCTGATGGTGATGATGCTGATGCTGATGCTGATGATGGTGATGGTGATGATGCTGATGCTGATGCTGATGCTGATGATGACGATGCTGATGATGATGCTGAGGCTGATGGTGATCGTGCTTATGACGTTGACGACGACGATGTGCAAGATAACGAGGATTATGATGATGGTGATGACGATGCTGATGCTGCTGCTCCTGCTGCTGCTGATGATGATGATGATGATGATGATGATGCGGGTGGTGGTGGTGGTAATGATGATGATGATGATGATGATGATGATCATGATGATGATGATGAGGAGGAGGCCGAGGGCTGGCCGCAGGGGGCGGCCCTTGGGGGGCGGCCGGGTTCCGGCCGGCTGGGGCCGGCGCGGCGGGCGGGTGGCGGGTGACGTTCGGAAATCATAGGAGGGAATGCACGCGTAGCACCTTTGCAGTTGTGGATCAGTGTGAGGCGGCGGGCGCGGGGTGGGTCGCGGGCTGGGTCGCGGGCGGGTCGCGGGCGGGTCGCGGGCGGGTCGCGGGCGAGGACGACGACAACGCAATAACAAGCAGAATCACCCGGATCCAGGGACACTGAATGACCGTTCGGCCCCTCCGCTCTCACCACCCCAGCCCCCGCAGCTGGTGTTTGCCTCGTAGCCCTGGGCGTTCACAAAGCAGCCCTGCCCTGTCCGACTTCCTCCCCAGATCCTCGACGAGTCGTTTTTTTCAATCGCGGCGTTTTGCCGTGTCTTCGGCCTCTGGGGCCCGTTACAAGGGCTTGCATGGCCATCGGCAATGGACCCAGGAAAACAGTTATACCCCCGGGCGACGCACCCGGACGGGGCCGCCCAGCGGCCTTCGGCGCCGCAGGCGTCCGGGGGGCAGGCGTCACAGGCCTGGAGGTTAACACCAGCACCAGACATCGGCGGTGTGCCTCCACCGAGGGAGCCAGGCCCCGATCTCGGGGACGGTGGTCAGATTCTGGCTTCCAAGGCGACCGAAATATGACCAGCAACACCGAGATCTAGGGATGGTCTTCCCCCTGTGGAGGCGACCCACTCCCCGTGTTGGCGCTGGTGCCATTTTCCAGGCCTCCACGAGTGACAGCCCCCCCTCAGGCCGCGGGGCAGCCAGCGCCGCCGGGCCCGGCGCGGGGCTGGTTGTCAGCGCTCTGGCGCAGCGGCTCTACGCAGGCGTCCCGGGGGACAGATGCGCTCTGCGAAAACCGAGGGCCGGTGGCCGGGGTGCCGCCACTCTGTCTCCGGGGCCCGCTGCAGGGGCTAGCAGGTCCGACATTCACCCCCTGGAGGCGACCCCCTCTCCCTGTGTTGGCGTTGGTGCCGATTTCCAGGCCTCCACAGGTGCGCGCTGTGAAGACTGAGCGCTGGTGGCCGGGATACCGCCAATCTGTATTCGCAGCGATGAGGAACGCGATCGTGAAGGGTGCAGAGCACGTGTCGGTCATCGGAGTTCGCAGTGATGCCGTGCTCGGCTCTGCCACTGGGGAGGAGTATCCAGCAATGTTGCAAGAGTTCCGTGCGCACTATCGAAGATGCCTACGGCGAGCCACCGCCGCCCCATGCCTTCTAGAAGCGCCTGCGTCGTGAAATGTCAAGCGAAACTGTGGCCGCGGTAATGGACTTCGTGCGTGTTGGGGAACGGGAGGTGTTGGGACTATCTCGGGCTTCTTTTCTGACCGCTTGCGTCTCGGGCTGTCCTGGAGGCGTTTTTGGGTTATCCCGGGGCCCTTTTGGGCCGTCTTTGCCCCGTCCTGGGGGCCTCTAAATGGACTGCGCTGGGCGCTCTGAAGGCCGAAAAGGTGCCGACTCGATGCTTCGAAACCATGCGTATGTCCGAGTTGGAGCTTCGTGGTTCGGTCCCCGAGGGCCTCCCAAGACGGCCCAAGAGACCCCGAACAGAGCTGTTTAGGCACTCTCTGGGCCACGTTGGGACTCGGGGCCATCCTGGCCGTCCGGAGAGCGTATTGGAGGGAATCTGAGACCGTCTTGGGCCGTCTTGGGAACCTTCTCGGGCCGTCCTTGGAGGCGACTCTTCAGATTTCGGGACTCTGTGCGGATGCGGCGCGACAGGCCGGTGGGCCCGAGGGGATTTATTGGAAGGAGGGCCCAGCGTTGTATTAAAGTTCTCCCCGCCAAGCACCCCTGGAACGAGTCACCTGAGGGGGGCGTCGGGTCGAAGACGCCTGCGGCGAACCACCGCGGCCCCCCTGCCTCTAGGAGACACATTGGGGCCAGCTTGGGCTCTCTTGGGGCCGCCTTGGCCGTCTTGGAGGCCATCGTTGCCATCTTGGCCATCGTAGGCCACCTTGGGGCCGTTATTGGGGAGGAGACCTGTGAACGCCAGGCACCGCACATGAGCAGGTGGCGGCGGATCGCGTGGCAGTCCGCGCATGCCGCCTCGATGCTTGGGTCGCGGACGAGGTAGCTCTCGGGGGCCTCCCGGGGGGGGGTCTCAGGGGACGTTTGTGTCCGTCTTGGACGCTCTGAAGACCCAGAAGCCGAGTGTGCTAAATCTTTGTGGGCCCCGGAAACGGCAGGGCCGTTTTTTCACCGTTTCCAAGAAAATGTCCCTTGAAAATGGAAACGGCAAAAAAACGGCGACCGGAAACGGCAAAAAACAGCTCCAGGATTGGAACCGGAGCCGGAACCGGTCAAACAACGGCGACGGAACCGGTACAAATTAACCGAATACCTTCGAGAATAAACACTAGGGGATAATAAAGTTCGGGGTTCAGGGGGAGATAATAAAAGTAGCCCACCAGACCTCAGCATAATCTCGAAGTAAGAGATGATCAAGAGGAGACCAAACCGAGCACGTTTTGAGACATCCTTGGCGTTTAGTCTTCATAGAAATATCCTCAACAAGGGCTTATCTCGCTGGAGACGTCCTCGACAAATCCCTTGTTTCGCTTGAGACATCCTCGACGAATCGCTCGTTTCGCTTGAGACATCCTCGTCGAATCGGCTCGCTTGAAACATCCTCGAGCAGTTACTGTTTTCGCTTGAGACGTCCTTAAGAAACGTATCGTTTCGCTTGAGACATCCTTGAGTATATGCTTGTTTCGCTTGAGACATCCTCGAGTATGCTTGTTTCGCTTGAGACATCCTCGGAATAGCTCATCCGCCTCGGTGTCCCTGGATAATCAACCGCGGAGATAATAAAGTTCAGGCGGGCGGAGGACTGCCCAAAATTATATGTTAAAAAATAAAAATAAAAATACATAAAAATAAGTATAGAAAATTCAAAGAGAGAAGGAGGAGGAGAAAGAAAAGGAAACATCTGGAATTCCAAATGTATTATATTTTATTTAAGTGCTCGTGTAGGGTAGCTCATGTAGGGTAGCTCGGGTGCTTCATTTTCCATGGATAATCAATCCCAGTGATTAAAAAGTTCAGGGGCGCGTGGAGAGAGAGACAGACATAAAGGGAAACAAGTAGACACGACATAGAAAATATAAATAAAAAATAAAAAGAATATTAATAAAAGTAATTAAAATTAAAAAGAGGAAACTTTAAAGCAGAAAGGAAGAGGAAAACGAAACATCTTAACTTCCAAATGTGTTAGATTTTATTTACAAGCGCTTTATGAAAATTGATGTTTTAAGTGCTCGTGTAGGGTAGCTCATGTGCTGCATTTTCCATGGATAATCAACCCCAGGGATAAAAAAGTTCAGGGGCGCGTGGAGAGAGAAAGAAAGACAGAAAAAGAGATGAGGAAAGAAACAGAACAAGAAATTGAGACACATGAATAAAAATCGCTGAGACACCCTCATACGGTTGCTTATCTCGCTGGAAACATCCTCCAAATATTGCTTGAGACATCTTCAAACTATTGCATATTTCGCTTGAGACATCCTCACAGAATTGCTGGTTTCGCTTGAGACATCCTTGAACAATTGCTCGTTTCGTTTGAGTCTGCCTCCCAAAATTTTTGGTTTCGCTTGAGGCATCCTGAAAAAGTGTGATCGCTTCGCTTGATGTTGCTATCTCAAGATAACTTGATGCTGCTATCTCAACATAACAGCTCGAGGTGATAATGAAGTTCGGCCTCAGCGCTCGCCTACCAAATTGAATTTTATATAGCCCAGCGATAATAAACTCAAATGACTTAAGGGGGGGTATACTTTATTATCCTCGGCATCCGGTTATCCAAGCGAACGACCCAACCATACGCAAGTGTGAAAACCGCAGGGCAGGTGAGACGAAGCAAAGGGAATTCCTCATGGGGCCACGAACCGTGTGAGGGGTGCACCAAACTGGCGCGGGGCCGCCATGCGAACCCTGCCACTGGGGCCTTCGGTGGAGCTCCTTATGGGGCCACGAACCGCGTGAGGGGTGCGCCAAAATGGTGCGGGGCCGCCATGCGAACCCTGCCTCTGGGGCCTTCGGTGGAGCTCCTATGGGGCCACGAACCGTGTGAGGGGTGCACCAAACTGGCGCGGGGCCGCCATGCGAACCCTGCCACTGGGGCCTTCGGTGGAACTCCTTATGGGGCCAGGAACCGTGTGAGGGGTGCCCCAAAATGGTGCGGGGCCGCCATGCGAACCCTACCACTGGGGCTTTCGGTGGAACTCCCTATGGGGCCACGAACCGTGTGAGGGGTGCACCAAACTTGCGCGGGGCCGCCATGCGAACCCTGCCTCTGGGGCCTTCGGTGGAGCCCCCTTATGGGGCCACAAACCGTGCGAGGGATGCGCCAAAATGGCGCGGGGCCGCCATGCGAACCCTGCCACTGGGGCCTTCGGTGGAGCTCCCTATGGGGCCACGAACCGTGTGAGGGGTGCAACAAACTGGCGCGGGGCCGCCGTGCGAACCCTGCCAATGGGGCCTTCGGTGGAGCTCCTTATTTTTTTGACACCAACAAACGTTCCCCTGAAGTGCCGCCTCCGAAAGCGAGAAGACTTCGGAAGAGAGGCACACCGCGTACAGCAACAGGGGGAGGTACTGTACGCACACGGCGAGGTTCAATGCATATTTAGCCGAGCCCGATACCACAAAACTCTGTCCCGATCCATGCGGCAGCCACATACAACACTGAGCGAACACTCAAATGCCAGGAAGCCCCGTACTTCATGGAAAACACATAATGCCGAGGAAGAGCATGTAATACCAGAACGAGGTAAAATATCCCAGAAACACTCCGTGGCTATTTATAACCAGCTGAAGGCAGACTGCATACTGAAAAGGCGGCCCTCTCCAGGATCATGAGGAAGATGAATCGGTACCCAAGCGCATGCAGATACCTCAGGAGCTCCCTCGCCGTCAGCAGGCACAGACGAAGGAGCAGCCGCAGCACCTCCTTCGCATGAAACGCCATGAACACCGTCGAGCCGCTTGCGGAGCTGCACGAAGGGCTTGGAAGATCTGCCAGCGCCAGACCAGGCCACCAGCTGCTCTTCCACGAGCGCGCAGAACTCGTCTTCGACGGTGCTGGCGTCTGCCTCATCGTGATGATCATCAACCATATCGGTACCGAGGGTGTCGACTGCTCCCACCGAAGAAACACGTGAAGCAACATCGGCAGCCACGGCCATCGAATCGCCTGCAGCATCAGAGGGCAAGGGGACCCAGACCCCAGCTCCAGGCACGAAAGGAGAAGCATCAGCGCGCAGGCTCCACTCTTTCACAACCACGTGGCAAGAGGAGAACACCACAGTGCCACAAGTGCAGCCTAGCCCATTACCGCCTAGGCCGACCGCCCTGCCCAAGCGGGCCCCATGCTGGGCACGCCTCCAGTCAGCGATTGGCGCCCCCGCAGGCGGGCAGTACGCGGCATGAAGGGCACAATTGCGCTCCAGCCTGCGTATACCAGGCACCTGCGAGCCTTCGACGAGGGCCTGCAAGGCGGGCCGAGCGATGGCCTCACGCCGCGCCACCTCCGCCGCGACGGACGCGTCGGGAGGCGCCGCAACCAGAGCCCGAAGCCGCTGCAGCTCGCCTTCGGCCGTCTGCGGAGGCCCGCGCACCAGCGTGACCCCGCAGGACGATGCGCCCCGCGTCCGAAGCGCCTCCCGCAGCCATCCCCCGGCGGACCACCTCCAGAAACTTCAACTCCGGACGCCCATGACGAGCCGGTTTGAGCCCCGGGGGCGCGCCCGCGCGAGCAGCTTGAGCCAAAATGGCTTGAGCCAAAATGGCTTGAGCCAAAATGGCTTGAGCCAAAATGGCTACGG